TGTATTTACACTTGAAATTATCACTACGCTGTCTTATTGACAAAAAGTGTGAGCCTAGATGAATGACAGTATTTGTTATTGAGTTGACTTAAATCTTCACTGAGATCAAAGGTGTATTTACACTTGAAATTATCACTACACTGTCTTATTGACAAAAAGTGTGAACCTAGATGAATGACAGTATTAGTTATTGAGTGAGTTGACTTAAATCTTCACTAAGATCAAATGATTAAATTCACACATCCTATCAATAGATAACGAGGGTGGCAATTGACAGATTGTGGAAAATCGGTAGTTTGACTACAGTTTGCCATACATGTTGCACAAAGAAGGTATGCTACAAATACAGAAAATACAGGGCAGAGAAGAAAAACTGTCTAAGTTGCAATGCACTGAGCTGTCTCAGGCTGTGAAATTACATTACATCTGACACTACAAAACAAATGTCAAAACTTTGTGAAGCATTAGAGATATCTCTATTCATGATTAAATGTTATTTATGTTTGGCAGTCACTGTAGCTCCACTGGATCATGTCTACAGGCATTAACCAATGCATCCTAAACCAGCAGTGACATATGTATACTTCATTAATTGCTGTGGCTTAAGCTCTCATGTTTGTTGGTCATTTAATAAGCAGCAACACCCAACTCTCATGCTGGTGTTTGTGACTAACAAGCTGATTGGAAACACTAGATGGCGACATTGGCTTGTGTTTGGTCAATTAATGTTATTGAAGGACTGGTCACTTTTCACTAAGTTTTAGTTTTTGCTACAAACTATTTCTGGTAAATGCATATAACCTGTTAATTTACTGAACTGTGTTTCAAACTATTGGAGATGCCTGGCATCAGTTCTGTTCTTTTTTTTTCTTCAGGGGTTTGATCCAGCTTTGATAGCAATGGTCAACTTCACTGTTGTATAATTTTAGAAGGATATGATATGAATAAAACGTTGATATCAGGAGAGGAGGCTACTGAGGACAAAGTTTCTGAAAGTGACACCAGTGGGAAGGTGCAGCTGAATGATGTGGAAATGGAGGAAACTAAAAGAGCCTCTCCCAGTAGGACTGCTGAGTCCAGTGAAGCAGATGAGGATCTTGCTGAGAAGCTATGGCCAGACTCTGTAGCTGAAGACCGGGACAATCTCTGCACAGTTTGTGGCTTCTCAGCCAAATGCCCGAGAGCACTAAAGATTCACTATGCAAGAAAGCACGGAAAGAGCTCAAAGAACACAGACAGAAATACTAAGCCAAGTGAGAAAAGTGATGAAGTCTGTGATGTGAGTCCAGCTGAAATCCAGCAGGAGGTAGAGATGGAGACAGAAAGTGGAGTAGAAGTTCAAGAAAACCAGGAGTCTGATCTTTTAGTAGTAAAATCTGCAGCCACAAAGAACACACAGAGTTTAACTAAAAAGCAGAGTGTTTTAGACAAACATCAGGCAGATCAAGAAGGAGCGATCCCCACCCAAGAGAGAAGAGTAAGCAAGCGAACTCCAAAACCTAAGATGATTTATTCTTGCAACTACTGTGGGCAAGAATTTAGGGACAAGGCTCCTCTGGATGTTCACACTCAGAGATACCACACCAAAGACACCCCATATACATGTGAGTATATGCTGTTATCAGGTTCAGTCAAAGCTGAAATGTTAAACTAAAGATGTCAGATGGTGTGGTCTTTTTTTCTGAAAGATAAATCTTCCAAGTATTTGTAGATTTTACAAGTTTTAAGAACGAAATGTTAATTGTAAATTCTTTTGGGGGGAATTTTCACTTAATGTAATATTAGCAATAGGTGGTAGCTTTAGAAACCTGCAGAGCTAAGCATTCTTTTCACTCTTTATGTATGGATTTCTCAGTATTAAGATTGCACATATTTATTTAATTATTTAACTGGATGGTTGAAAAGAGATCTGAAAAGTGTTTAATTGAAATGTCTTTCAGTTGATGTTGACGAGAACATGGGAGAAGAAGATGAAACTGAGGATCCTGGCAGCTCTGTGAAGACTACTTCAATACAAGTGGCACCCAAACGTACAATCAGCAGGTTCCAGCTGAAGTGCGCATACTGCGAGTTTAGGGTCAGCACGCCAGAGCTGCTGGAGAGCCACGCTCGAGTCAAACACTTGGACCAGGAGTGGTACCGCTGCAAATTGTGCAACTTTTTTTCAGCCACATCTGAATGGATGGAAGCTCACCTGTCCTCCGATAGCCACATGCAGCTGCAGAAGGGGAAAGACAGTGCAGAATCTTCCTCATTTGAATTCTATGTCGAGAGCGTGAGCAGAGATGATGCTGATGGTACAAATATAAATGATAAGGCTCGGGTTGGTGGAGAAAAGGTAGCTATTTTGGCAGAAGGAGAACAGGAAACTGAAGAGGCAGTTGAGGCTGCCATAGCGGTGTTGGTTGAGGAGGAAGATTTAGAGCTTGAACCTCCCAGAAAGAAAAGAGGAAGACCAAAGCAAGGGGCCACAACCACCTGTGGATACTGTGGCCTGGTAGTGTCCAACGCTACCAACCTCAGCGTTCATGTTCGCCGCAAGCACAGCAAGGAGTATGGATACAGCTGCACCCTGTGCAACTACAGCTGTGTGACCAAAGGAGACATGGATCGTCACTGTATCACGAAGAAACATGTTAGACGTGCACAAGAGTGTGCAAATAAGAACTCAGTCAGCAATGACACAAGTGCATCACCGCAGGAACCCACAAGTGCACAAGCCCAGGAACCAAATGCAGCCTCACATACCATTAACAAAGAACAGGAATCTGAGAACCAGGCCTCTAAAGAACACAGCGGAGAAGAGCAAACTCAGACAGACACAAGCCAGAAAAAAAGTAAATGTGACAGTGTTAATGCTTGCAGCCGCTGTGATTTTGTAGCGCAATCAGTCCCTTCCCTCCATCTTCACGTCAAGAGAAAGCACACTAAAGACTTTGAGTACGTCTGTCTAGCATGTAACTACTATGCTGTAACAAGCAGGGAGATGCTTCGCCATGCCAACACAGACAAGCACAAACAGAAAAGCCAGAAATACCCGGAGCCACTGGAAAGAGAGGGACGACGGGCTTTGTCACTGAAACCGAAGGAGGTCATCGAGCTTGGTGGGGCAAACTCTAATCCTGAAGATGAACCCCCTAGCCCCATAGAGGAGCCTCGGTCTTGTTCAAATGACTGTCAGCCTGCGGAAAGTCACAATACAGCTAAATCATCCATCACTACAGAACCTGGTGATGATGTGGTTACTATGCCTGGCAGTACAGATGAGAAGCAAACAGAGTGCATTACCTCTTCCAGTGATGGTGAACCAGATCCAGCCAACCCGACTAATAGACCCACAGTGCTGTCTGAATCCCAACAGGCTCCAGCAGATCTTCAGCCTACAGCAAATCAGTCCATGCAGCAGAAGAACCAGGAAGAAGGGGATAAACAAGCGGAGGATGAGCATTTAAATGCAAAAAGTGACAGCTCGCATTCAGATACACAAATGTCCAAAGCCCATTCCTTTGATGCCTGCATTGTATCCATAAAGGCCCTTGCTGAACAGGAACAGGCACTGCAGGAGGGCCTGGCTGTGGAAGGTGAAGCTGCTGTGATTTGTTTGACTGGAGGCTCACCGGTTCCCTCAGATCTTCTGGCTCCCAGTTCTGCATATATCAAGAAACTGAAACACAAGGACGTGAAGGAAAGGGAGGAAACCAAAGGAAGCAGCTCTCGCATACGCTGCGAGGACTGTGGCTTCATGGCTGATGGCATCAGTGGCCTCAATGTCCATATCTCAATGAAGCACCCTTCCAAGGACAGGCATTTTCACTGCTTGGTGTGCGGCAAGTCGTTCTACACCGAAAGCAACCTGCACCAGCACCTGACCAGCGCCGCCCACCTCCGCAACGAGCAGAACAGTGTGGAAGAGTTGCCCGAAGGGGGAGCGGCCTTCAAGTGTGTGAAATGCACAGACCGCTTTGAAGCGGAGCAGGATCTGTTTGTTCACATTAAGGAGAAACACGAGGAGCTCCTGAGGGAGGTCAACAAGTATGTGTTGGAGGACACAGAGCAGATCAACCGTGAGCGTGAGGAGAACCAGGGCAGTGTGTGCAAATACTGTGGCAAGGTGTGCAAGAGCAGCAACTCCATGGCCTTCCTGGCACACATTCGTACACACACAGGTATGTATCAGGCTTCTGTTAACTCATGCACACTTCTGCCTACAGTCTGTATCTCACACACATATAGTATTTACACTGATGCAACAATGTCATTGTTTTTCATTTTCCTTCATTAATACTGACAAGCATTACATTTTGACTCTAACCCCCCATCCTCCACCGCAGCCCCCAGACTTTTGGAGTCCCCTGGCTGATTAATAGCTAGGTAGCATATTTCTGATATATTTTGATGCAATTTAATTATTTATTAAAATTGCAAATAACATTTTGATTAGAAAAATGTGAAAATGCGTTTGCTTAAATGAAATAGAACAACTTTTCAGTTGCTGCATAAATGATTTAACCTCCTATAATTGACACAGATTGGGTTTGTGCACTTTTAATGCCTGTTTAGCACTTGAACACATTAAGTTGGACTAAAAATCCCAAAACTAAAATAGTAATCTCTTTCAGTAGTTGCTTGACTCTTAGGCCTTTGTTTTCGGGTATAACATTACTGAGTGTAGAGATGCAGACTCTTCTTCAGCAGCTCAGGCTAATGTTAAGGCTACTATCTGCTGCAGCCAGGTAATAGTTGTTTCAGTAGAGGTGAAGTTAAAGACTGATTGAGCTTCAGACCAGCAGGAGAGAAGCTAATGGACCCCAGATTGGGATTCCCTGAGCAACGCTTGGTCAGAGACATGTGCGACTCATAATTGATGTGTCCATTACCAAGACTCAGTTGTAATTATAGTCAATAAGTCTCTGTAAATGTGTTAAAGCTTAGGCTAAAAGCATTGGAGATCCAAAGAGAGGTGGGCTAATAATTTAAAATAATCAATGCAGACGTATTCAAAGCCTTTAATTTCCCTTGTGTCTGTACGTCCATGTTTGTGTATATGTGTGTGAGTGCTTGTATGCCTAGTGAATGTGTGTATATATCAGCCTTCATGGCTAGGCGATTATCCTCAATCCATTAAGATTTATCTTGTCATTTATAATGCAAAGCAGGGCTGCGTTGGTCAGGGGTTTGGCTGGGAAATGTCCGGCAGGTTAAAAACACAGGGCGCTCCATTACTTTTCCCTGACTATGTGTATTAATTGCTTTTAAAAATCAACTTAATGCAGGAGCGAGATGTGAGGGTGCCATCAATAAATGCCCTTCTCTGCCTTTAGTGGTCCGTCCCCATTTTAGCTCAAATTTAAATCAGACTTTAATTGAAGTGCATGTTCTATGCTTAGCACATGTAAAACCTAGATCTAATATTCTCTGCATGCCCTCCTTGAATACTTGATGTACTTAAAACAGCGTGCTGATTTCACACCATCAGGTCATCATACCGTATGTCTGTAAATGCTGTGGCCTAAAATGTGTGGCTGTAAATTACCCTGAAGCTTTGGTACTTCAGTGGTATAAGAATGATAACCAATGTATTAGTTGGGCCAGAGAAATGGCTGAAATTTAAGGAAACATTTTTGCCCTTTTATAATGGTATGTATGCCAGTCACCTTATGTGCCAAAGTGAGATTGCTTACTGCTCAAATCGGATTGCTTAAAGTAGAAAGAATTGGATGTTAAAATCCCAATGATTAATGCTGAGCCCCCACTCTCTTCTTATTAATGGTTAGTCTATATGTATTCATAATTTTACCCTGTGTCATAATTCTTGAGTTTCGAGGTCACTTACTTAGTGTTACTTAAGAAAATGAAAGCTGTGACACTGAGGTCCCAACAGATGGCTTCAAGTCAAGGGCACAATGTGAGGCTGCATAATATGAATACTTTTTTTTTAGGTTTATTTCTTTTTATTCAATTGAGTTATGTTCTTGTTTATGCGATTACATCTACATTTTCATTGATGCTGTTTTTATTTGTGGAAAGCACCTACAGTATTTCTCTTCATTTTGACAACATATGCCAAATGCTATTATTGCTAAGTCCTCTCATTACAGTGAATTATTCACCTTTTATATGCTGGTCATTTATTCTGGGAGTTTGTTTGTGGGGATGCGGAACAGCACGGTGGGGTTCTGCCAGTCTCTGGGCTGGGAGCACATCCAGGTCCGTTTAATTAAGACCTAGATTTTATTCACTTGATTAATCAGTGAAATCAGGAGACCATAGTGGGAGGCTGAACACAGATTTATCAATTTGTCCTTTAAAGGAAGCACGTGCTCATGCTTGTGGGATACAGCTGGAATTTGCATTTTTTGGCAAATTGGTCACTTTTTCACTGGAGTGAGTTGTCCGAGCTCAGACTGAGCCTGGTTGTGTAATGGGCACAAATGCCATGCATACATGTTCACATGCAGAATGTGTGTTTGTAGAAAAAAACTGAAAAGCTAAATGACAAGTGTTCCTGAGCACCATTTAACCAATACGGGCTTTTGATATAGACATTTCTAAGATTTTATATCTTGAAATAATGTAATGTTTTTCCTCAGGATTTTATCTTTTAGTAAGTGTATCAACATTTGAAAGCAATTTTGAAACATCATGTAAAATTAAAACTCCACTGAAAGCACTGTCTGCCCTCAGACACTGTGATGAGGGAGAATCTGTCAACTGAATTTCACCTCCAATATACATATGATATTTTTATTATATTTCTAAGCCCAGGTCCATTTCACAACCGGATGCAGAACTGAATGGAATAGGCCAAAATGGCCCAAACGGGTACATAGAATGTGATTACTATACCAAGGGTTTTTTTTTTTTTAAAGCATGTTGGACAAGGTTTGAATCATCTCCATCACTCACCATTGAACTAATCAGTGCATAGAGTTTTGAAGATCAAACAATGGAGGGGGACCAGATGGAGAGAAGCATGTATTGGAAAAGGTGAAAGCTGGGTCACATTGAAAGTAGCCGGTACACGACTGAAGTATGTACAGCTCTAGATCTAATTGCTGTTTTTCCATGCCAGTGCCTCCTGCTGCAGCCGTCACCATGCAGGCAGTGGAGGAACTGGTAAAACAGTGTGTGCAGAGGGAAGTGTCCAGGCTTCAGAAGTCTTTTGATGAGCTTGCACAAGACCACAAGAAGGCACAGGAGGACTTTTCATATCTCAGGAGAACTGTTAGGGAGCTGGAGCAAGAGCTGGTCAGGGAGACTCTCCAAAGGATGGCAGAGAGGGTAAAAACTATGAAGAGCGAATTTTATCTCTATCTCTTGAGCAGATTCCCTCATTGCACCTTTCGCCCTCACCCAGGCCCCCACAGACACAGGCCTCCTTGACTTGTGGAGAGATGCAATTTTAACCTCACTTGCCGTCATCACCAGATACAGCTTCCACTAATAGCTCTACAATGGCTGTACGATCACCACCAACCCCTAATATCTTACCAGACATTGTTTTGCAGACTGTGGATCCAGAGGTAGAAGACAAAACCTTTACTGTTACAAAACACAGTTATGGCCCTCAGTGCCCAGATGATTATGCAGCAAAGATGTTTATGATGATGATTGTGGACTTCCCCACATACCTGTCCTGGGCACAGAAAGTGAATTGGGATGGGTCAGAAGGCAAACTAGGCCTTCCCAGGAATGTTATTCCAAAGTTAAAAGACCTTCTTCAGCACCGTGACGAGGACCTTTCAGACTGGGAATGGACAGGCATTAGAGACTGTGTTACTGAACGACTGAGAAATCCCAGGACCGAAAGGTGCTTTCATTGAAAAAACTAATAAACAAAAAACGGCGTCCTGTACATGTTGCTGTGTCCTTAAGATAATGACAGTGATTTAGCTATATAGTAAATCACTGTGGTGGTGCTTAGAACTTTTTAACTATTTTATTAGAAATGTTAGTTTTTTTGTTTTATTGTGCAAGCTCTCATATGTACTTGGACTTGATGAGTGTGGGCAGGTTTCTAAGTATTTAGGTTTTGCTACTGTAAATGGCAGCTCCAGGTGGTATTTTGTTTTGGGAAAGTTCAGAGCTGGTGGGGTTTATTTATTTGTTTTTCTGATGGAAGGGGACATGGATTTGAGTTGGCTTTAGTCAGTTGTGCTGCGTTTCCACTGTCACAACCTAGAGCGGTACACCCTGTGCTTCCCTTAACTGTCACCTGGCATAACCTCACAGGCTGATGTGGACCATCCTGCTTTGCCTTTCCACTCTTCTTTCCGCTGTGTCGGTCTCTGTTTAGAGGAGGGCAGTGCTGCACTCCTCTCTCACGAGCACACACACAAAGCTGCATAGGGGGAGAGCAGAGGACATGAAGGATCACTCCATAGTGCAAAAATTAGCCAGTAATTGAGACTGTATCAGTTTATCAAACAGCTGGTAAACAAGAAGAACACAAGCTTTCAGAAATATGACTCTCTTCCTGGGGTCCGCTTGCTGAAGTTCTCGTTTTACCTCTAAACCAGTGAGTGTGTTTACACACCTTGCTTGTAAAGCTATTAGATGAAGCATGGACATGCTGGCATTTAACCAATCATGGGTGACAGCTCTGTGAGCACCCACCCCTCCCAGCTCGCATTCCTGGAACTTGAGTTTAGTGCTACTTCCTAAGGGGTGCCAAAATGTAGCTTCCAGAATGCACCTCCAAAGCGGGAGGCAGTGGAGACAAAGTGTTAAACAGCTTGACACGTTTTGGCAGGTTCCTATGGTGGAACACCCCATGAAAGACTTCAGTGCCCTGGCCACCAGTGCAACATATAGACAGTTAAGCCGTAGTACTCCAGGTACTATCGGGATATGTGTTCTACTAATGGACTATCAACAACACCCGTCTGGTTACTGGTTAGGCAACAAGGTGTCTAATCAGTGATTATATCCAGTGTTAAGGGAAGTGAAAGCTCCAGTGTTTTTGGAGCTTGACCCACATTAGGTACTGAAGCACAGAATCTTTCAGTCTCTGCTGCTTCAGTTTTGACAGTTCTTTAAAAATGTGTTTTTGTGAGTCGACCTCAGCTTTATCACTGTGATATCTCTTTAATACAGCTGTGTTTAGCCACTGCAGGAAGAAGAGGTGCTTTTCTCTTTGTCAGGTCCCTTCTGGCATGCTGTTAAAGGATATTGTTTGCTGTTGATGCACACAAGTGAACTTTTTTTTATCAGGCAAGATCATGTTTAACACTTCGGTGACTTGTGGCGCTGCATTAACTGTGTTCTAATCCATTCACTTATGTAAAGTAGATCTTTTGGTAGGCAAAAATGATGAAACAGTGTGACAGATGAAAATGTGTGGACTGGACCCAGAGTGTGATGGATTATGATTACCTGTACAGGGCTTTCTGTGCAAACTGTGCAGTAGAGCTGTAGCCAGCCACAGTTGAAACTGGGACAGTCTCAGGTGCTAGCAGTGTTTATTAGCTGGTTGTACAACGAGAAGTTATTCATATGAAAGTATCATGTCTTATTTTCTAAGCCCACACCTGAAGTTCAAAGCCAAGCCTCTGACAATAGTATGTGTCATGTGCAAGGGTTAAGGCTTCATCTTGTGTGTGTGTAGTGAAACATTGCACGAGGTTCTTCTTTCCTCTCAGGAAGCCAAGCCTTTGACAATAGTATGTGTCATGTGCAGGTTAAGGCTTCATCTTGTGTGTGTGTGTAGTGAAACATTGCATGAGGTTCTCCTTTCCTCTCAGGAAATGAATTAGTCATTCCCTGTCTCATCTGGGATGTGAGAAAGCCACATCGCTCCTATGTGGATGGCAATATTAATTTAACATGACACTGCATTGATGGTCAATTTCAGTTTCACGGAGGCTATTTAAGTGGAGTGGTGGAGTATTAATGTGATAAGATGTGAGAACTGAGGGACGTTACATCCCTCTCCTTTCTGCCATGTCTCATACTCAGCCAGCCATCTGGACAAATCAGCTCCCCACATGCCTCTCTCTCACCTCAACGCTAGGTTGTGTGTGTGTGTGCGTCTGAGTGAGTGAGAAGGAGAGAGAATGATTTGTCTCTCTTTCGGTTTGCCCACGAGTGATTATGTCTTGTGAATTTAATGTGTGTGTCTGTATGCACATACATAGGTGTGAGGTGGGGTTCTGAATCTAGATGTAGCTATGTCAGTGTGGTGTGAATGTGTATGTCTGTCTTTTTGTTTTTTTATGTGTTGATTTTGTTGTGTGATTCTTTGTGTGTGTGTGTGAAGGTGTCTGCACATTTAGGTGTGAAGTTATGTATAGGGATTTTATGTGTTTATCTGCCTTTATTTGTTCTTGTGACTGTGTACTGATTCGTGTGTGTGTGTGTGTAGTATACTGTAGGGACATGTGAAATGAAGAGGCTGACTTTGCTATTGCCCATGCGTGGACTCCCCCGCCCCCTGTGTTTATGGGCCTTGTTAGCACAAGCTTGCCTTTCAATCTTCGTTACCAGCTTAAAATTCGATGTCGTATTTCCAGCTCACAGCAAGTGAACCGTGTATGAACGAATTAGTAATCTACACAAAGTGCTTAATCAAATCAGCAGCTGCCCCTGGAATAAATATTGTAGAATGCCTTGGGATATTCACTGGGAGAGGGTGAGGCTTTGCTCAAAGATGTGTACATGGGTATCATACTGGGCTGCCACTCAGACTGGAATGTGGCACTGTGTGATGTTGGCCTAAGTCTGGCTCACACTGCCAAACAAAATATCCATCTTATTTTGACAAATGCAAACCTTTAATTTTGTTAGGTTTGTTAAAGAGTGTAAGCTTTAAGGCTGAGTTAAAGGTTTGGTTTGGTCAATTTTCAAGTATACTGTATACAGATGTGTTTCTGTGGTTGTTTTTAAGGACCCTGTTCCCTCTTTTAACTTGAACGAGTAGATGTTTGTGTGTCATGCAGGTAGCTCAGGCATCTGCCATCGCAGCGCTGCTCATAAGTAACGTATGGCAAGCAGAGGCTTTGCCACTCTCTCAAACTCTACCCCACCCTCTGGACTTATTAATGACAATAATTAGAGAGAAACCTTCTTGCGAAGCCCGCCAGAGTGATTAGCGCTTTAATGATGGAATGGGAGGTAGTGAACGCACACGGAATTGATTTACGTATTCTCCCTGACCTTTTGAATCCAATTTACGCATCCACAGGCAAATGAAGAGTAGGTAAGAGATGAAGGAGAGTGACAAGGATAGATGGAGAGTGAAAGAAGAGACGTCTGGCACTCGGAGTGTGACTGTAGTTTTTACCGACATTGGTGTAAGGGCATCTGTTTTTACAATAATGAAATAATTTTGTAGCTGTGAAGTTTGTTGAGGTCTGAGCACAGAGCCGACAACTTACATTCATAGCACAGAAAAATAATTTGTAATGTAAAATCAAATTTCTGCCCAGCTGTTAGGCAGTCATGTTTTATTAACATTTCCACTTCTTTCTTTCAAACATAATATTCTTGCCAAATACGAACTCTCCCTGCTTTGTTTTGCAGGATCTAAGCCCTTCATGTGTAAGATCTGCAACTTTGCAACTGCTCAGCTGGGAGACGCCCGGAACCACGTGAAGAGACATCTTGGCATGAGAGAGTACAAATGTGACATCTGTGGGTGAGTTACAAGGGCTAACAGCTTTTAAAAGCAAGTCTAGGATCTTGGACCTCACTCCTTAAAAGGGTGATGAAACTGACACTGACAAGGAGTGGAACAAAAGCTTGTTTTGAGTCTAGTGACAAAGGAATCATTAGGGAGCTGAACATTCCAAGGAAAGATACTTTTCCATCTTTTAATAGCGAATGCACTGTGTGTGCGTGTCTGTGTGTTAGGCTGATATTGTTGCAATATTACATCTAAAAATAGCCACCTGAGAATCAATTCAGCCAGATCAGGTAGGTTTGGGTCCAATATCTCACATTGGAAACAAATCTGGGGATTGTTCATGTTGAGAATTGAAACTGAGAAGCCATGAGTAACAGCAGGTGGGTGGTGTCCTCACATGGAGTGGTATCTACTAATTATCTATTGTACAGCCCACCTTAAATTCCATTTGTCTCATGCTAATTCATAAGTCAAGTCTATTTAACCCTGTCTGACCATAGTAGGCTAAGTGGGATGGCTTTGCTGCTAATCTGATGTAGATTCCTTTTGAAATTGTGAGATTTTAGTTGATAAAAAAAAAAATACTGACACCTTTCACCCACTGCCTAAATGAGCTGCTAATCTGAATAATTTCATTTGTTTTTTTTGGTGTCGTATGGAGAGTTTACATTTTGTTTGAAAGGCTCAGATCTCATCAGGGTGTGTAGCATTTACCAGTAAAGTCATACCTGAAAAGGTTTGGCACATTAAAACACTAAACACACAGGCTTGTTATTTATTCAGCCAAGAAAACAAAATTTTAAAATACATTTTTAAATAATGACTAAAAAAAAAAAAGAAACTAGGCTTTCCCAGGCCTTTCTTAAAAGACATTTAAATGTATTGCTGCTAGCCGACTTTCCTTATGAATTAAACGTTAAAGGAATAGAGTTTATTTTACCTTCTTCATTGTTTCAGCAGTACAAATAATCCTAATTGGTTGTTTATGTAGGCAACCACAAGCCTATAAATACCCAGTAGTGCCAGAGCATAGTTATTATCCCACTACCTTGTACCCCCTACGTGTAGACCATATGTTGTGTTCAGCTTGTTTTGTTCCCATGGTAGACCCCCTCACTGCCTTGCCGTGTTCAAATGGACGTGTTAAGCTGTTTAACATGCAGTCGGGGAATAGAGTAAATTGTGGGATTTCCAGCTTTGTGCCATTTAGCTTCTGTGGCTACACGCTAAGATGAAGACATATGTAAAGTTATTAGTTTCTCCCTCTGCGTAATCCTGTGTAGACTGTTCCATTTAGTTCAGTCACGGGCCGATTTTTGTTCTTCTAAAGCTGAGCAGAGCGAGTGTTTTTATTTGCTCCCGCTGATGTTCGCAAACATATTACAGCAGGAGCAAACACGCTTTGGTTTAAACACAGCTTCTCCTTTAATGAGAGGAAAGCTCATGTTTCACAAGCCCTCCAGCTGAAAACCTTCTCCTTCCAAGTGCTGCAGAAGTGCCTGGCTTTCACCAAGCATCTAGCTTTACACACGCACGCACGCTCACACACATACGGAACAGCTCTCCAATATTCCTTTAAATGGGACTACTAAATACAGCCCCTGGTTTCACAAATCATGTGGATGGAGGAGCTGTGTGCTGCCAGTGCCAGCCACTAGTGACAAATCGGCCCGGTGTGTGCTTTCAGTACTGACTGATCACCAGGCCATCCCTCCTCTTGACTAAAGAGCAGCAAACACAAAGAAAACCCCTAGAAACATCCTCATTAAGGCAAGAGCCATACATACACATAACCTTCTCCCTTCCCCAAACTTTTCACATTTGCTGATATGTCCTTAATCTGAACCTAAAGCACATTACTAATGGAAGTCCATGTTTCAGTTATAATGTGTAATGTGATTACCCGTTTTGTTTTGGGTGACCTAGAAAAGTAAGATTATAGTGCGATTAAGCTCTGCATTCTCTTGCGGATACTAATGACAGAGCAACGTTTCACATAAGCAAAAAAAAAAAAAAAGTTTCAGGGGGGATTTTTATGTGTAATCACCATTTATCATTTCAATTAGCATGGCAGTATATTGTGACTGCTTCATACAATATAACATTTGGGTTCCTACAGTATAATGCTCTTTGTGCTTCCAGACTCTTGGGCTTTGTGGGTTTTGTTTGCCGTTTTGTTGAGAGCATTGGCTCAGCTTTTGTTTGTGCATTTTTTCTTATTTTTTCCCCTTACCTTAAACATAAAACCTTTGCTCACTGCCATCGATCGCCATGTTTTCCTGTTAAACTTTCAGACTAGAAGATTACCTCTGTGTGTGGACACTGTGAGTGAGTGGATGTGCTGCACCTTCGCTGTCCACCTCACTTTAGCTTCAGCCCACTACTGCTGGTTTCTTCTCAGGAGTGGGGGAAGTTGTTGATAGTTGAAGATCATATTGTTGTGGCATTCAATTAACAAATGCAAATGCAAGGCCCGCACAGCCTGGAACCCTTGACCATGCTGCCAGTCAAACCTGAGCGGGCTGGTCAGTGCCTCGCTCATCATCGCTAACACTTTATAGGCTTTCTCTTGCTGCTTAACCATTTCTGTCACTTCCTTCACATCTGTTTGGCTGTGTTTCTGCTTATCCATCTGCCTGTGCCTGTGTCTTTCAAGCCATCTTAGTTTTGCCTATAAAGAACTCTTAAGGTGCAAAAACAGCAGAAAAACACAAATTGGATGTTAGCATGTAAGATAAGATTTCTCATATTTAATTGGTTTAAAAAAATCCTCCAGCATGTGAGACGGCAGATTCTTGTGTTTCCTCCTGGAGTGTTTTGTCCACATTGGGGCCCGGCCACTTAATGAGCCTCCTCCTCTTCTCTTCCATCATCTACCAGAAAGGCCCTGAACTCAGCATTTCCACCCTCCTGCTCTCTCTTCCTCCCCAAAGATGCAATGGACATCCAGTGCTGTTGTAGGTATTAAATTATGCATAAACAGTCTAAATGCTTTGAGGCATTGGTTTAATATCTCAGCCTGGGCCTTAGAAGTATTAACACTATCATGGACATGGATTGTTCTCCTGTGGACTGCCATTTTATGATTATGGGTCATAAGCTGCCTGTTTCCTTGTGTCACTGCAGGAATTTGAACAAAACTTAAAAACCGTTGCTTTCTCACAACACAAAGTTTGCAGCATGCTAAAGTTTGCCCTCTCTGTGGAGGAGGCTGCACTGTTTTTCCCCTCCTTCCCTTCCTCGTCTCAGTTTTCTTGACTTTGTGTTGGAGAGAGTATATATAGTCATGATTTCATGTTGGGTGTTGTGTGTGTGATTTGACTGTTAACAGGATGGGGCTGGCTCATGTCAGGGTTTTTATGTCCCCCCTGTCTTGTGAGATTGTCTGGTCTGTTCCCAGAATAGCCCATCAGTTCCGCCCTGCGTGGCTCATCCGCTGTAATGTGCCTTAATGCCCGGGCCTGTATGAGTAGTGTGAGGCCTGGCAGTGACAGTGGAGGAGCATCTTAGCTTGCTGCTTATCCAGAGAAAGCCGTCACTTAACTCAGCCCCTCTATTGTCTATCCACACCCCTCTCCTTCTCCCCTGACGTGATTCTCTATAATCCTCAAACAGATTCTGGTTAGAACTCCCTGAGAACTATTTTTACGTTTTTCTTTTCCTCCCTTCCTCCCATTTAAACATTAATGGTTGTTGCAGATGAAGAGAGGGATCCCTATGAAGATGATTATAATGTCACTCTGCTGATCTCCTGCCGCCCTGAAATAATTGTACATCATCGCTTCATAATGTGTCAGAGGGACACGTTGGTGGCGTGCAATTAAAACCGCAGAATATAATACACCAAATTACTGCCTGTCAGGCCTATGAACAACACACACTGTATTTGAGTTACACTTAATCATCACGTACATTAGCAATTTCACTAAGATGCCTCCACCACCAACCCCTCCGCTTATACGGCATGAAGCACACTGCTCCTTACAAGCTGAAGGATTGTGGCTGTGATACGACGGCTTTGGGGTAGCTTTGGATTTCTGTTGGGAGTTAGACCCCTTTGAAAGCTGATAGTGTCCTAAATCATTAGGATGTGTGTGACCAAACGTGTGTACCATGCATGTGTGGGCAGAAATTCTTAATTAATTAACACACAACTAAATATTTACCTCAGACTCTGTGAACCTTTTGTGTTTGCATATTTCATTATTATTTTTAGATGTCTAAAGGTTGATGAAAATAATAATACACTTGGTGGCATGTAAAGTAAGAAAATATAAACACTGGGTGCACCCACCTCAAGAAGGACTACCAACAATCTTATTTATATTTGTTGAACACTTTATTATGGTTTGCATTAGAATTTATCTCATAAATAGTTTTGTCAGACTAGAAAAAAAAGGTGGTGAACCTTGACCCAAGGTTTATGTTTTTCACTGTATACGTGCACTTCTGCCAAAGGTAAATGGACCTATATAGTGCTTTTCTCTGCACTGAAGCACAGTTAACACAGTATCTGTCCAGTCACTCATTTGCACACACAAATGTTCACATCAGTAATATCAGAAATAGGAGAAACGTGGGGCTCGGTATAGATAAAAAAGTCCGACTTCTGACTGGTAGTGAGTTTATTCTGTGTGCTCCTTATCTTTTATAATAAATATAATTTTGTGTGCTCATCAGACACAGGTATTTATTTCAGTCTGGAAGACGTATTCTATTTACTGCTTTGGATATTTGAGTTTGTGTCTGGGAACATGGTCCTTGTCAGTCACTGAAGTCCCCCTCACCGAAATAAACACATTTTGCTCTGATGCATTTAGCAGAATTTAGTGTGCCATTATCGGAAATGAAATAAGTAACGTTAAAGGTCATTTGGAAAATAATGCAGAAAGGCTGGTCCGGAAAGGTTAAGTATGTGAAGGAGCTGTTCTGATGATAACGAGGGCTGCGTATGGCTCAGAGAGCTCGGTGTTCTGGTTTGACTCGGCACTCTGCGATCGCTCTTTATGACC